CGAGGATTGCCAACGGTTTGTGAGGGGTGTGAATCGTGATCGTGATTATTATTATTATTGTTATTATTGTTCGTTGTGTAATCATTAAAGGGTCTAGTATTAGTTATTTGGGTTACAGGTTGATTTTCGGAACGGTGTAAGAGGGAATGATGTTTCTGTTTACAGAATGAACATCTGAATTGACTTTTACAAGATTTATGATCATGTGAGGCTGCTAGACAGTTAGTACACCGCCTTTGTTTTTTAACCAACGAATATCGATCTTCACTTGACATTGATAAGAAAGTGGGACAAAACCTTAAGGGATGTGGTTCTTGACAAAGTGGACATTTTAGAGGCTTATCTGTTTTAACTTTTGTTTGAAATGTATTAACTTTTTTAGAATTATTGGGAATCTGTTTCTTCGGATTATATTTCTTATAGTTATTTTGAGAATCAGACGAAGTAGTTCTTATATCAGCGAAGCCTTCAAGAGATTGATATCTAGAAGTTAAAAAGCTATCCATTTCCTGCCAAGTGGGTAATTCTTTACTATTCCCTAAATGTTGTTGCCATAAATGTAAGCTTATATCAGGAAGACATTTTGCACAAATAAAAACAAAGATAACGTCCCAGTTTTTGGTATCTATTTGAAGCAGCGAAAGATTTTTTATACAATCGTTTATTGATTGTTGGAGTTGTTTTATACAGCGACCAGATTCTTTAGAAATAGGATTATTCAATAAGTTAAACAGAGTTTTCAATTGTGAATTAACAAGAATACGGGAATTTTCATATCGTTCGACAAGGTTTGTCCACGCCATATTGAAACCATCATTAGTGAGTGGACAATTCTTTAAAATCTCATGGGGTTCGCCTTCTGTCTTTTTTAGTAAATGAAATAGTTTTTCAACAGGGGACAATCGGGAGTTGTTAATATAAAGGGCCGTAAACATATCACGGAAGGGGGGCCAAGAGACATAATCTCCATAAAAAGTTTGCGTATCGCATGGGGGTAAAGATATGTTAGGGTTAGAATCAGCTACAGGTGTAGGGGGGTTGACAGCAGGGATATTACTATTTCGGAGGGAGTCTAAAATCTCATTAGCCCTAGACAATGCTCGAACATGGGAATCAAAAGTTTTAAAGAATCTTTCCTTTATAGTTTCTACACTGATATTTTCCTGTACAGTATTATAATTTTGCAGAATCTTATCATAGGCTGCCCTAAAATCTGACCAGTGTCGAAGAATCTCATCTTTATGTATGTCAAGGGTGTGTACTGTATGATTAGTAACTGCGGTGCCAGAGAAAAAAGCTTCAAATTCTACAACCTTATCAGAAGATCGGATAAATTCATCTAAAGTCGACATTTCCAGTTTGTATTCAAGAAACTATACGAAAAAACAACTTTGGGTTTCGGAACAATTAGTGATCAAAGAATTTTCAGTATTTTTCTCAAACGTAAACAAAATATTGGCTTTACGACTCAACTCAATTTAAAACTTTGTTTAGATTTCTATAATTCAAGGGGTTTAAAAGTAATTTGATAAAAATTCAAAAAAAAATTATAAAATGTTTCAGAATTATCAGCAAATATTAAATCGTATTTACAACTTATTTACAGTTTTATAAATTGTGTAGCTTTTATTTGTATTGAACAAATAATACCAACTTAATTTTCGTAGGGTGACTAAACACTTATGTAAGAGTTTCAAATTTATTGAGCAATTACTGTCTCTTTAATTTGTAGTTAACAGATCGAACTAATAGCTGTGGTATGTATTGGTAGTTCTCTTTGAGTGAGATAAGCTACAAGTAAATAATCACTGTAATATTTTATGTTGATGAAAGTTAGCTACTCAATGTTAAAATGTCATCACTGTTAAAATTTATCAAAACTGTTATACAAAAATTATTTTAAACACTTGTGGATTACGTTCTTATTATGAAGGGATTTTTTATTTTTGAGAAATTTGTAACGGGTTGCATGTAAATATGGTTTAACGGTAAGGGCTAAATTGTTGTTGCACACTTCTTTTTTTATATTTTATTAGGGGTATGCAGATAAAAATATACGTATAATAAATTTCAAAGAAGAAATACCTTTTAAATAAATACTTGTTGAGCACTTGAAGATGGGGGTTAATTTTTATATGATGATGACTGGATGGTATTGTAGATCAGTTTCAGCAATATTTAGCACCACACTTTCACTTTAAGCCTGGGGTATGATTTATGATGAACGTTACCACTTTACCACAATAAACTTTAATTTTCACTTTACGCCTGGGGTTTTATGTATAGATGCACTTCAGCACATTACCACAAAAACTTTACTTTTCACTTTAAGCCTGGGGTTTAAAAGGGGTTTGCAATATTTAATAGTAAAATATTTGAAAAAATTTTATAGGGTGTTTTAATCCGGTTCGTGGGATCAAAATGTTTATATGGGGGGTAGGGTACAAATATATCACTTCTAAATATTGCAAATTTATTTCTTATATTATTTTAATCTTACTTTGAAAGTAAATGCATAAAAGGAAAGACACAATAGGGGTTGTTGTTGTATTAAAAGAACTGGTTTATTATTGATGCACTATTTTGTTTGTTTTGTTTATTGGTTGATAGTTACTGCACAACTGGCTTGATTTTTACAAGATCAATAAGTAATAAGCATAAAACAATAAAAGTAATGACAGTTTACAGCGAATTAAGCAATGAGAGAACAAAAGAGATTAAGAAAAAACAACCACCAAATGATATGATTTCCAGTATACTGGTGGTAAATTAATTACGGGCAATTTAAATAATTAAATAATAAATAACAAAGTTTAGTAAATACTAAATAATTCTCTTGAACTAAACACCTATCTCTTCCCGTTTCCAAGATAAATGGACTTTTATATTTTCACTCAGAAAATTGATTTTTGGTGGGAAAAAATAGTGATCACAGATTATCGTTGTTTTGGCCCTATCACTTCCCGTTTCCAAAATAAATGGACTTTTATGTTTTCACTCAGAAAATTGATTTTTAGTGGGAAAAAGTAGTGATCACAGATTATCGTTGTTTTGGCCCTATCTCTTCCCGTTTCCAAGATAAATGGACTTTTATGTTTTTACTCAAAAAGTCGATTTTTGGAAGGAAAAAATAGTGATCACAGATTATCGTTGTTTTGGCCCTATCTCTTCCCGTTTTCAAGATAAATGGACTTTTACGTTTTTACTCAAAAAAGTCGATTTTTGGAAGGATAAATTAGTGATCACAGATTATCGTTGTTTTGGCTCTATCTCTTCCCGTTTCCAAGATAAATGGACTTTTATGTTTTTACTCAAAAAGTCGATTTTTGGAAGGAAAAAATAGTGATCACATATTATCGTTGTTTTGGCCCTATCTCTTCCCGTTTCCAAGATAAATGGACTTTTATGTTTTTACTCAAAAAGTCGATTTTTGGAAGGAAAAAATAGTGATCACAGATTACCGTTGTTTTGGCCCTATCTCTTCCCGTTTCCAAGATAAATAGACTTTTATGTTTTTACTCAAAAAACTCGATTTTTGGAAGGAAAAAATAGTGATCACAGATTATCGTTGTTTTGGCCCTATCTCTTCCCGTTTCCAAGATAAATGGACTTTTATGTTTTCACTCAGAAAATTGATTTTTGGTGGGAAATAATAGTGATCACATATTATCGTTGTTTTGGCCCTATCTCTTCCCGTTTCCAAGATAAATGGACTTTTATGTTTTTACTCAAAAATGTCGATTTTTGGAAGGAAAAAATAGTGATCACAGATTATCGTTGTTTTGGCCCTATCTCTTCCCGTTTCCAAGATAAATGGACTTTTATATTTTCACTCAGAAAATTGATTTTTGGTGGGAAAAAATAGTGATCACAGATTATCGTTGTTTTGGCCCTATCTCTTCCCGTTTCCAAGATAAATGGACTTTTATGTTTTTACTCAGAAAATTGATTTTTAGTGGGAAAAAGTAGTGATCACAGATTATCGTTGTTTTGGCCCTATCTCTTCCCGTTTCCAAGATAAATGGACTTTTATGTTTTTACTCAAAAAAGTCGATTTTTGGAAGGAAAAAATAGTGATCACAGATTATCGTTGTTTTGGCCCTATCTCTTCCCGTTTCCAAGATAAATGGACTTTTATGTTTTCACTCAGAAAATTGATTTTTGGTGGGAAAAAATAGTGATCACAGATTATCGTTGTTTTGGCCCTATCTCTTCCCGTTTCCAAGATAAATGGACTTTTATGTTTTCACTCAGAAAATAGATTTTTTGAAGGAAAAAATAGTGATCACAGATTATCGTTGTTTTGGCCCTATTTCTTCCCGTTTCCAAGATAAATGGACTTTTATGTTTTCACTCAGAAAATTGATTTTTGGAAGGAAATAATAGTGATCACAGATTATCGTTGTTTTGGCCCTATCTCTTTCCGTTTCCAAGATAAATGAACATTTATATTTTCACTCAAAAAAGTAGATTTTTGGTAGAAAATGAAGGTGATCACAGAATATCATTGTTTTGGCCCAAACCTTCCCGTTTCCAAGATAAAAGGACTTTTATGTTTTCACTCAGAAAATTGATTTTTGGAAGGAAATAATAGTGAATACAGATTATCGTTGTTTTGGCCCTATCTCTTCCCGTTTCCAAGATAAATGGACTTTTATGTTTTCTCTCAGAAAATCGGTTCATTTAGTCTATAGTATAGTCTACAGTAATAAAGTCAATCTTTAAGCTAGCGGAAAATTAGTTTAGTATGTTAGTATTATTTAAAAATTTCAATTTTCCATGCCTGATATGTATGACAGAATTATTAACTGTAAATATTTCTAACGAATATCTGAGTCAGTTTTCCAAGAAAAAAAACACTGATAAATCACCTATGATTCCCTTGACTCCCCTTTATAATTACAACAATTTAAAATTTTAATTCTATTACTAATAACTGTTTATCTTCTACATACGTTTCTCTCTCACTCTTCTCTCCTTATCTATCGCTCTTTTCTTAG